AAACACACCATAATAACATGAATCAAATATATACTTTATTCATTTACATTAAATGTCATAATGTACATCATTCTGATTGGAGCTAAGGGCATACACTGTCTAACACTACCATCAAGTTTCAGTTGCTCATAGGGTCTGGCACAAACTTGCTTTGTGGTTCTATGGTCCATTTAAAATCTTGGAGAGGATTGGGCCCATGGCCTATCAGTTGGAGCTACCTCCTACATCCAAGCTCCATCTCGTTTTTCACATATCACTCCTCAAGAAGGCTTTGGGCACACACACTACCATTATCCCCTCCCTTAGTTCATAGATGAAGGAGACTTAGATACAGAGTCCACTCGCATTGTGGACTTTCGCTAGGTGCACCGGGACCATCGAGTCATTCCAAAAGCAAAGGTTGAGTAGGTAGGACTCCTCACTGATGATGCCACATGGTAGCCTCATATGGATCTACAAAAAAAGGTTCCCCAACCTGGACCTTGAGGGCAAGGTCAATCTCATGGGGGGAAGAACTGTTAGGACTTCACCCACACCCATTATGGACAGTCCAGGATTAGCAGCACATCCAAATTTGGAGCAAGAAGCTGACCTGGTCCCTGGGTGACTCAGTAGTTTGTTAGGAGGCAAAGAGGTTCGGGTGCCACCACAGTAGATCTTGTGTTAGAGGTGGTTGCAACAGCCACTGAGAGATTAGCATTACCATGATTGTGGTGTTTTGTAATAAGTGGCTAGTGAATTATTTCCCCATCTCTCTCTCTCTCTCTTCTTCTTCTTCTTCATTTTCTTCTTCCTTCCTTGTTCCTCCCTTCCCTATGCCCTTCCATTTCAGGAGGTAGACTCACCCTCGAAGGGACTCCTGAGGTAGGCAGCTCCTACCAACATCTCGATGAAGGCCCTCACAAGGGTGGCTCCTTAGTAGGGGAATAAAGCCTTTTGTTTAAGGCAAAGAATGTTGATCCTCAATCCTTATATTCAAATTTCATGAAAGGGGAAAAGGGATGTAGAAAGGGAAGACCAAGACTTCCTATCAAGTAGAAATGGCCCCAGGGAACTGATCAATCTAGGAATCCTTGGTGTCAGTTCTTGGAGACAACAACAACAAATCCAGTAGAGGCCATCCCTTTCCTAAAAATGTGTGACAGGTAATTCACCTAAACAAGGATGTCTCAAGAATCATCCATGGATAGCTTCAAGAAGGACTGGTGAATGATTGTACAGGATTGGTGGTGGACAATTTAAGAACTTATATTGTGAGTTGTGATAAAAATGATAGACGAGGAAAAGAAGAATAGTGAGAAATGAAGGTAATCCTTTTCCCAAAAAAAATGGCAGACACAGATTTGAAGGGAGGAACAGAAACAGAAGAATAGTGAGAAAGAAAGAGGTAGAGTTGGGGATTCAACAGAAAGAACATGAAGAATAGGCTAATGAATCAGGCAATGAACACCAAAAGAGGAGCAAACGATAGCTGATGAATTTTTTAAAAAGTGTGCAAAGCTTAGCTGATTATCAATGTTTCAGAAAACATGAGGCAATAAACTCCTAAAGAGAAACAGAGACTGATGATCAATTTTTCAAGAAGTGTGTGAAGGTTTTAGCTGATTAGCAATATTTCAAAAAGCGTGAAGCTTAAAGAAAATGTCATGATGTTCAAGTTTAAAGTATAATGTACATCTTTTACATCTTGAGGAGCCTTGTGTTTAAAAAAAATGTTTTTCATACATTAGTTGAAGGAGGGTCCTCACTGTAAGAAGTTAAGATCTAATTAGAGATCAATTCTGAGATTTAAAGGTATGTGCATTTTTAATTTTTATGAATATTTAAGGTTTTCAACACCCATTTCAGGTTTTAAGTTGCACTCATAGTCTAGAAGGATTTGTAAGAAAGCTCTTGCTCTTTGTAGTCCTTGTTTATACAATGAGTAATTCATTTATATGGTCTCCTTGTATAAAGTGCAGTCCTTTTTCCATAGTTCCAAACTTTCTCATTTTGATTCATATTTTTCTTGAACTGTTGAGATTTCATAAGGCTTACCACCTTAGAAAATATTAGCACCTCAAATCATGCCTTCATGTTTTAAAGCATGGGTAATGATAATCAAGAATTCATAGTACATTTTAGAAAAATCGGTTCACAAGAAAAGGGAAAAGAAGGTGGTTGATGCAAGTGCAAGTAAGGCCCATGAAAATCTTTGACAGACTAGACAAGAAAGGCCCATGAGTAGGCAAAAGAAAGAGGAAAAGAAAGTGGTTGATGTAAGTGCAAGAAAGGAGACAGGTTGCAAAAAAAAAAAAAAATACTACAAAGCTATGGTTCTTTTCCATGGTATAAAGTAAGGCCCATGAATATCTTTGATGGACTAAAACAAGGGGACTATGTGAATAGGGGGGAGGAGATGAAGGGACCAATCTAGTAGTAGAGAGGATGAGGTCATCAAAGAGGTGATTTGGTCATTAGAATGGAAAAGTGTGGGTTATTCAAGCAAAAGGGAGAAATAAAGGGTGACAAGATCAGCAAAAGAGTTCTTCTACTAGGAGGAGGAGTGGCCAGAGTGTTAACCACTTGTGCTCTTGATTGAGCTGAGGCTAATAGCTTTCCAAAGAGGATTGATTAAAATATTTGGGCTGTGCTATGGCTTCCGTTTTTGCATTGAATTTGATGTAAGGTGCATCAACTTAGAGTATCAAGTGTTAGAGAATGGTGGTGTTTACATGGCTTTGTTGGGGTAAATGTTGGCTGGGCTAAGAGTTCTCTAGTTTGTGTACATGGGAAAGGGGCTTATTAAGGGTTTCCAATGTTGTCATGTCCCTCTTTTATTTTATTTATGTTTTCTTCTCTTTCTGGCCCTGTTTGGCTTTGTAAACATCCTGTAAGGTGTACATACTTTGCTCCTTGATAAGTAATCAATACTGTATAAAATTCACATCTGAAGATCAAATATGAATATTGTAGAGAAAGGGGACCTATATGTAAAGAAAAATCTACCTCATTGTCAACTAAATAATAAATAACAGAAGCAACTAACAGGTCCTGAAGAAGCCAATTAGCACTAAATTATAGGCCACATCAAAATAACTGCACAAATCATTCTACTCACATCGCTAGAGATATCCAAAATATTCAAATTCAAACAAGTAGTTTAAGTTTCAAATAAGGAAACCATAAACTTCAACCAGACAGGGAAAGAGAAAGACAAATTATTTATGAAATAGCTATAAGGCTATGCACCATGTCAACACCCATTTGTTGATGAAGAACATGATACATGTCATCATCTCCAGTCAAATAAAAATGTAAATTGAAGTTGCAGACCAATTACAAATAGCACTCCCATTTTTATCTGAACAGTGAGCCACAAACCTTCATAACTGCAATTCCTAAGCAGAGCAGTGACTACATGGCGTGTTGAATCATCATTTTCCACAAGCAGAACCTTCAGTGACCTAAGAGGAAGAAATCTCTCCCAACGAACCACCGGCCCTTGAGACTGCTGCTGCAGTCTCTGTGGAGCAGCCTGGGCCTGGTTTGCCCCTTCACGTTCATCATTTACATTTTCAGCAACCCCATCAATCCGAGACTCATCGTCCTCCGATAGACCATGCCCTTCACCCACTACTCCATCTCTAACTTCCTTGTGCTCATCTCGGATATGGTGATTTAGTTCCACCAACCCTCTGTTTCCAGCACCAACATTGTTCACAGGAACACTCCCCATCAATCAGATTCAAAAAGACCAATTATGAGGAACGAACATAATAGAATCGTTGAGAAATCCTCCTTCAATCCAGAAAAGAACTTGTACATTCCGTTTTCTTCAAGAAACCACTATCTGCAAAGACAAACTTTCAACCCATCCTAGACTTCAAAAACCGTTGAAAGACAAAGCAGATCCAGGATGAAATCTGAAAATCCAGCTCCAACTGTATTAATTTCCTCCAAAAAAGACTGAAGTCTCTAGAACCTTCTCTCACCCTGTGACACCAGATAAGTGTATCAGACAAATTACTATGTTCAAACCCTCGTATATATGCTCAAAAGTCAAATTAGAAAGAGAAGTTGTGCACGTAGAATGTACAGTATTCCAAGAACATCGATTTAAAACGTTTTATAAGGAAACCAAGAACCTTTAAGGAACCCATTAAAGGAGCAATATTTTTATAACTTTTAACAACAAAACAATAAAAATCCAAAAGAATAATCAGTAAATATATCGCCGAAACAAAGATACAATTCAAATCTCTGGTAAAATCCAGAGAAATAAGATTAAATTGAAGGAGATACCTTAGAACCTCCATTAATAGAAAGCAGGGCACTCATCGGCGAGTTTGATCGTGCAGGGGAAAAAAAAACAGATATTCAGAACGGCAAGATCAGTAATGGAAATACATCAAAGTGCTCCAATCCACACGATTCTCAGATCGAAAGCTGGTCTGAAGACCTTTGTTAGGGTTTTGCTTTCCATTTTCTTTTTTTTCCCCTTCTTCTTCTTCCTTTTTAATTTTAATGTTACAGAGCTTGACTGGTCGGAGAACAGTGAAGAAGCTAAGGTGAGAGAAACATATCCACGACATTCACAAAGATATTAAGATTTATTGCAAGGTGGCTGACGTGGAGAAAATGGAGGTTTGCAGTGTTCGCGTCGAGCCGCGCTGGACGCCACCTCACTCTATATGGAAGACATCGATGCCATGAGATCTTCTGAGTTGGAAAAAATCTAAAGCCGGAAGCTCAAAACCTTCTACCGCATCTTAATTGATCTTCCGGATCTGGCACGAGACACGTGGCTCTATGCACGATCAGCTAAAGGTTTGATCGAGGATGTGAGAAGATGCCTCGAGGCCCTAAAGCTGAAAACGTCGTTTTCGCAAGCGTCGACTGGTCGGTAAAAACAAACGATTGGCTAACGGGGTTTGCTTGTGGAATGGCATAATTACCCCCAATTTAACTTTTTCCTCCCGAACAAATCCCAGCTTCCGAAAAATATCTGCCTCACACGGTAAGGCACCATGTGGCGGCATATTACGGATGATAGACCTTCACTCACTTGTGCATACCCTAGTATAACAACCAATCAATCCAGACTGTCCAACCTATGGATTATGTCTTTACACCGTTGAAAATCAAATAGAGACTTGATGATCTAATGTGCTGCAAAGCATAATAGAGAATCTGGTGCAACTTATTCTTTCAAATTCAAAGTCGAAATTAGAGAGGGGGAAAGAAGAGAATGTGGAGGCGGGCGACCTTATTCATTTAACCAAACGTAAGGTCTAAAGAACATGCTTTTGCGCTATATACCACCGCAACATAACTGCAATCCGTACTAGCCCGTTACAGTACCAAAGTAAAATTACGGAGTGTTCGGAAATATAAATGATACTTTGTTGATGTATAAGTTATCATTTTAGGCTCTATTGGGACGAGTTGAGGAGTGTAAATACAAATATGTTCAGTGCAAATACTAAAACAAAATCAAAATCTAATTTTATCCGACCTCTATCATTTATATATATATATATATATTTTTTTTCTTTTTTTTCTGATTTTTCTATTTTTTGTGTGAATTTCTTTTTTTTTCACTTTTTAAAGACCCTTTTGGAGGTTTTTGATTTGCCTACACATGTCTAAAGAGTCATGCAAATTAATTTTCCTATACATGTCTCAGGGGCGATTACTTTATTTTAGTATGTATTTGGTTCTGTGTGATTTTCTCATTTTAAGAAGTTTCATTTTGGGGCTTCCCCCAATGGGTATGCATTTATTGGCACTTTTGTTGATGTGGTGCCTAATAGTGCTTATGTGTCATAAATGTCCTCATTAATTGTTTTTCTCAGTTTTGTAGCTACATCAAATATCAATGGAACCAAATACATACTTAATGAGGTGTCTTTCAACAACATTTCCCACTAATGCGCCTTTTCATTCCACTAAGGGGGCGTCAAAAATCCTAATTTTTTTTTTCAGATTTATGTGGGGACCAGGGAAATTTTATTTTTTTGGGTATCATTTACCCGAATAAGTGATACCCATCTCTTAGGTGGGTAAATAACTTTCCCACCTTGGGGGAAAGTTGCCAAAACTTGAAAGTGACAAAAATGCCTCTTGTAAATAATGAATTTTTATGGATAAATGGGCATTGCCTTATTTATATAGGAAATAAAAGACCATAGGTAAATGCACTTACCTGGGTAAATATTTCCTAAGAAATAATTACCTGGATAAGTGCATTTACCCGGATAAATAACTTACCGAAATGCAAACGAGGCCTAAGTGTCTCAACATCTCAGCCATCCCATTGTGATATACAGGTTTGTTTTCTAATGCTTATCTCCCACTCTTGGAGGGGCATTTATCTTCTAAAGTGATTTATCATTGCAGCAGACTATTCTGTAATAAAGAAGAAACAATGAGACCTCTAACAAAGAAAAAGGAGAAGAGCTTAGTTTGGAAAGAATAGAAATACAAATATAGACAGTATAAATACTCACAAAATAGTTCAAAATACAAGAACCAAGGTAACAATGGTGTGTTTTTCTTTTACCTTATATGCATCTATGTTATTCATTAAAACAGTTGATTCTTTCTGTTAATTTGTTACACGCTTCAGTTGCATAGATCAGGGCCAAGTGTCCACTGATGTCAACACAACATGAAGACAAAAGCATAACGGTTTGGATGGTCTTTGCCTCTCTAGCTAGTCTACTTATCGGTGTTAGGAGAGAGAGAGATGCTTTTATAAGACCAGCCCGCATCCATAGGGCAGTTTTAGATGCCAAAGCATGGAGTTTTAGTGGCATGAAATCGTTGTTATGTTGAGACAGATCAAAATTATTTTGAATAGTTTCTGTTCATTTTGCCATTTTCATGTCAAAATTTGGATTTTGGGAGACATTATGGCTTTCATAGTGTGTTCACATGCCAAAGGGTGTGAGGTATTGGTTGCCCAAACCCAATGCTATCAACTACTCTAATTAACCGGGTCGTTGTATGACCTATTTTACCGCGCAAGTGAACAAGATGAACCATTCGGGTTGTCTTTGACCCGTTTTTTCGAAAACACTGTTCATAGATCCGAACCGTGTGATACACTAGTCAAACAACCTGTGTTAGATTAATTTATGTATGACATAGATTGAATAATAATAATAATAATAATAATGATGATGATGATGATGATGATGATGATGATGATAACAACAATAACAATAATAATAATAATAATAATAATAATAATAATAATAATAATTTGAAAATAATGACACTTAACTCTTGAATTTTGTTTTGGGATAGAGACCCCTTAAACTTTTGGATTCCAGTAAGTTGCCATCACTCATTGCATAATGTTAGATAACTTTATTGAATACTCTCCAAACTACCCTTATTTTATGGGGTTAACTTTGGTTGTTGGAGCCTCAACAACATAGGCCGTTGAGACAGATTCTAAGCTGGGCACATTTTGGACAAGTCACCTATTCATGTCCATGTTTTGGATTTTAGTAAAAATATATTAATATGCAATTACTAATTCACCCATACTCATGGTAACATGGAATTCCCAAAAATTCTCTAAACAGCATAGGCTGTTGGCCCCCAAAAACTAAAGTTTTTTTCTCTTTTATGGGACCATTTTGCCATTTTAAGTTGGGTTTTTATAAAATACTAACCCTCGCATTTTTCTCTCGACTTTTCCAATGGAGTTCATATTGAAAAGACCTTTATAATGATAGAATGATTGGTTTGTCAATGTTTTGAGAGCTATTTATGCTTTAGAATGGTTATGGTCTTTTTATATATATATATATATATATATATATATATATATATATATTTGTTGTTGTTAGCCTAGAATCTCAAATGGGCAATTTAATAATTTTACTTTCACCATCAACCCTACCAAGCTAGAATCTAGAAGTTCATGGATGTCTTTGTTGCAAAATAAAGTTTGGGGAGCTAAGTGTTACCACCTCCCAAGTACAGGGCAATCTGGAATTTATCCCTTTTTATTCTTTTCATAGAAAGATCCTATATAGGAATATGTTACTAAGGATAAAAAATGTTTTCCATTATCAAATGGAATAAAAGAGAACTATTTAGATTCCAAAGTTGAATAACCAGATTATTGTACATATAAGAGATCATGCTTTATTGCTTTTCTCATTCATCGTCTTTTCTCTTGTCATGTTTCATTGACTTTCATGTATGGTGTCTAGTACTAAATTGGCTTCTACATTTTGATGATGTGTTGTATTTACTTACCAGCAAGCAAACTGGTGTAAATGCATGGGGTTGAATAGAAATTTGTTTAAGTTTAGATTGGCAAATTTAGGTTGTTATATGATTTAGTTCTAGGCCAGGGTCCATGTTCAAGGTTGGTACTTAACCCCATCAAACCCATCTAATTTATACCCATGTTTTATTAGAGAGAATTACATGAAGGTGTTCAGGGATATCTAAGAGGAAATGAGGGATTTAATGGGGGAAGGGAAATATTACAAACACTGAATAGAGATCAAATCAATCCCCCACAACATCACACAGCATATTCCCAATACACGACAGGGATATGTTGTGGGACGTTGTAGGGGGCTGATTTGAACACCACCATCTCCAAGTGCCATTCATTTCAAGTGTTATGATGTATATATTGACGTGTCTTCACTCTTTATTGAAACCATCCATACTACACACAGCGAAAAGGATTAGTTTTTTTTCTTCCCAATTAGGCTAAATCTTGCCTCCATCCAAGATTAATTAGGGTAGTGTTTGATTTTAGTTTAAAAAAAATAAAAAAGAAATACCTCTTCCTTTTCCTATTACAAGTGCTTATGAAACTTTGTGCGGGGGGACCAACTTGGGCTGGCAGACTGTATATTAAGGCTGCATTTGGCATTTCTTATTTTAAAGGATTTATATATTTTTTAATTAAAAAATCAGCATTTATAAAAATATTTTAACAATAAAAAGGGGACAAGTCCTTAAATTAAATTTTAAAGCTTAATTGTTTTAATAGAACAACGGCTTTATCTTTTCAGAATTTATTACATATTGGCGTTTCTTGCCAACACTTCTATACTTTATAAAATAAAGAATCTACAATTGCTGGAATCTTATATACGTTGGGATGATCTTAAAAATGGCATAATAGAGTTAAAGCAGCAGAGTTCGGAATTTCGGATTTGTTTTTTATTTGCTATTGTGACAGTTGTTTTTGTTTTCAAAAACAGGGTTATGATTTCCTCCTCACATCACGTTGTATGTTTCCAATGCACACCTGTAAATACTGTGAGTTGGATGTGAAGAGGCTTTTGTTAACAAAATCTAGATTCAAACCGAAAGTTGTGAACACGCCTCAATTGTTGCTGCAGGTTAAAGTCAATATTTTTTTCTTTAATAAAAGGAAATTTATTACTTTCAGGCTGAAAGTTGATGGAGGGTGATTTGGCCCGACCTCGTAGCATGGGGATACGTGGACATGACTTGGCATAAGTGACAACTCAGCGTGACAGCCTGGTCATAACTCGGCATAACGAACTCGCTGGAGCCCGGTCGGACAACTCGG